ACCCGGCCTCACCCTACTAGAATCTGATGTAAAATGTCTAATTTTTGCTGATGATCTGGTGTTTCTGTCACCAACCAAGGAGGGCCTACATCAGCACCTAGATCTTCTGCACAGATTCTGTCAGACCTGGGCCCTGACAGTAAATCTCAGTAAGACAAAAATAATGGTGTTCCAAAAAAGGTCCAGTTGCCAGGACCACAAATACAAATTCCATCTAGACACCGTTGCCCTAGAGCACACAAAAAACTATACATACCTCGGCCTAAACATCAGCGCCACAGGTAACTTCCACAAAGCTGTGAATGATCTGAGAGACAAGGCAAGAAGGGCCCTCTACACCATCAAAAGGAACATAAAATTCTACATACCAATTAGGATCTGGCTAAAAATACTTGAATCAGTTATATAACCTATTGCCCTTTATGGTTGTGAGGTCTGGGGTCCGCTCACCAACCAAGAATTCACAAAATGGGACATAATGATCAAAATCCAGAAAAGAGCCATTAAATTCTATAACCACTTAAAAGGAAGCGATTCTCAAACCTTCCATAACAAAGCCATCACCTACAGAGAGATTAACTTGGAGAAGAGTCCCCTAAGCAAGCTGGTCCTGGGGCTCTGTTCACAAACACAAACAGAACCCACAGAGCCCCAGGACAACAACACAATTAGACCCAACCAAATCATGAGAAAACAAAAAGATAATTACTTGACACATTGGAAAGAATTAACAAAAAAACTGAGCAAACTAGAATGCTATTTGGCCCTAAACAGAGAGTACACAGTGGCAGAATACCTGGCCACTGTGACTGAACCAAACTTAAGGAAAGCTTTGACTATGTACAGACTCATTGAGCATAGCCTTGCTATTGAGATAGTCCGTCGTAGGCAGACCTGGCTCTCAAGAGAAGACAGGCTATGTGCACACTGCCCACAAAATGAGGTGGAAACTGAGCTGCACTTCATTTACATTTTAGTCATTTAGCAGACGCTCTTATCCAGAGCAACTTACAGTTAGTGAGTGCATACATTCTTTTTTTTATACCCCCCCGTGGGAAACGAACCCACAACCCTGGCGTTGCAAACGCCATGCTCTACCAACTGAGCTACATCCCTGCCGGCCATTCCCTCCCCTACCCTGGGCCAATTGTGCGCCACCCCATGGGTCTCCTGGTCGCGGCCGGCTACGACAGAGCCTGGATTCGAACCAGGATCTCTACCACTGCGCCACTCGGGAGGTGGCGCACTTCCTAACCTCCTGCCAAATGCATGACCATATCAGAGACACTTACTGTATTTCCCTCAGATTACACAGATCCACAAAGAATTCGAAAACATACCCAATTTTGATAAACTCCGTTATCTACTGGGTGAAATACCACAGTGTGCCATCACAGCAGCAGGATTTGTGACCTGTTGCCACAAGAAAAGGGCAACCAGTGAAGAACAAACACCATTGTAAATACAAGCCATATTTATGTTTATTTATTTTCCCATTTGTACTTTAACTATTTGCACATTGTTACAATACTGTATATAGACATAATATGACATTTGAAATGTCTTTATTCTTTTGGAACTTCTGAGTGTAATGCTTACTGTTAATATTTATTGTTTATTTCACTTTTGTTTACCATCTACTTCACTTGCTTTGGCAATGGTAACATATGTTTCCCATGCCAATAAAGCCCTTAAATTGAAATTGAATTGAATTAAAATTGAATTGAGAGAGAGACAGAGAGATAGAGACAGAGACAGAGAGAGAGAGAGAGAGAGAGAGAGGGAGAGAGAGAGAGAGAGACAGAGAGACAGAGAGACAGAGAGACAGAGAAAGAGGGTGTCAGAAAGAGAGGAAAGCGAGAGAGAAGAGAAAGAGAGAGATCAATGCAATTAGCAGGTCTTGCTTTTTAATATGGAAACTGTATCCAGGCAACAGCTAGCAAGGAGCTAGAAGTGATCAACTAGACGCTGATTATTTAAGAAACCAATGACTGGATGTTTACTTGCCCGTCTCAGGACTGTAATGGGAGCAGTTTCCATGTGGATTTGCTGTTAAACATCTCTACATGGGGCGGCGTGCAATTGGCCCAGCGTCGTCCAGGGTAGGGGAGGGAATGGCTGGCAGGGATGTAGCTCAGTTGATAGAGCATGGCGTTTGCAACGCCAGGGTTGTGGGTTCGATTCCCACAGGAGGTATGAAAAATAATAATGTATGCACTAACTGTAAGTCGCTCTGGATAAGAGCGTCTGCTAAATGACTAAAATGTAAATGTAAAATGTACATCACAAGGAGAGTGGCCACACAGATTCCTGTGTCTCCTGGTTGGCATTATTGTTAGCGTAGCCTAACGTTACATTAGCGAGTGATTAAGATAACTTGATGGATTTCCTCAGTTGACTGATGGGCTGATCCCTTTGAACAGTACTTAACCTACACACACACATACACACACACACACACTTTCTCTCTCTCTCCCATATACACACCTGATGCCTGCTCCTCTCCCCAGGCCAGTGATCAGTGAGGGCCATCTGGTTGTCCTCTGAGAGTTCTCTGAGTGTTCAGTGTGCCCCCAGGGAGTCCTATCCCAGGCAGCCCAAATAGGCCTAGTGCTACAACATCCAACCACACTGAGCTTGTGCCCCAAATGGCACCCTATTCCCTTTATAGTGCACTACTTTTCTCATCCCCTATAGGTCAAAGATAGTGAACTATATAGGGAATAGGTTGCCATTTGGGACACACTCTGGGAGATATGAGGAGATGTAAGGAGATAGCACAACCTTAACTGGTACATTGAGGGATGGCTAAACTCACTGGCTCCATCAGATCAGAGCTGCCAGCTATGCTTTACCTCCCACCTTACCTCCCACCCTGCCTCCCACCCTGCCTCCCACCCTGCCTCCCACCCTACCTCCCACCCTGCCTCCCTCCCTGCCTCCCACCCTGCCTCCCACCCTGCCTCCCCACCCTCACCTCCTCCCACCCTGCCTCCCACCCGCCTCCCACCTGCCTCCCACCTACCTCCACCCTGCTCCCACCCTGCCTCCCACCCTCCCACCCCTGCCTCCCACCCTGCCTCCCACCTCCTCCCACCCTACCTCCCACACTGCCTCCAACCTGCCTCCCACCTTACCGCCCACCCTGCCTCCCACCCTGCCTCCAACCCTACCTCCCACCCCTACCCTCCCACCCTTACCTCCCACCCTACCTCCCACCCTGCCTCCCACCCTACCCCCACCCTGCCCCCACCCTACCCTCCCCCCTGCCTCCCACCCTACCCCCCACCCTGCCTCCCACCTCCTCAACCTCCCTACCTCCCACCTACCCTCCCACCCTGCCTCCCACCCTGCCTCCCACCCTACCTCCCACCATGCTCCCACCCTGCCTCCACCCTACCCCCCACCTCTCCACCCTGCTCCCACCCCTACCTCCCACCCTGCCTCCCACCCTACCTCCCCACCCTACCTCCCACCCTACCTCCCACTCTGCCTCCCACCCTGCCTCCAGTTTTTGGCTTCTATCTGACTGTGAGTTTTTGTCTCCTTTTTCTCGTTCCCACTCAGCCTCTCTCTCTCTCTCTTTCTCTCACACACACACACACACACACACACACACACAGAGAGAGAGAAGGGTGAGAAAGATGTGGAAAAGAAAATGAGAGGTTATCCTCTCTCTCTCTCTTTCTCTCTCTCTTTCTCTCTACACACACATTCATCACCCCCCCAACACACCCCCTCACACATAATCAGGTGTGTTGACATCCTGTTTATGAACATGTCTCAGGGATTTGATTAGTTCCCTCCTTCCTTCTCCCCACACTTCATTACAGCTCTCAAATCAATTTAGTGCCTCCATCGAACATATATCTACACAGTACACAGAGCACACAGCAGAATCCAGCACTCTCCCCTCCAGTACCATTACACAGTGAAATATTTAAACAAGCAGCTCCCACAGGAGCCCTGTGATCAATTGATCAATATGAACACCCGGGCAGAAAGTAATACTCAAAAGGAATATTCTTCCATTTGATTGCCGCAGGAAAACATTTTCATGAATAGAGAAGGGACATATTACATTTTCCAGTCAGCCTAACACACACACACCCGAAGAGACAGGCACATAACACACAAGTGAGTGAACAAACACATACACTTCCTCCCTCTCCACGACAAGAGACCAGACACATAACACACAAGTGAGTGAACCAACACATACACTTCCTCCCTCTCCACGAGAAGAGACCAGACACATCAACACAACAAATGGAGGTTCAAGCCAGGGCATGTTTGTCCCTGCATGAGGCATTGTTAGTGGAATTACCAAATCTGTTCTGGGTTTTCAATGAAACTCTAATGAAAGAACAGGACATTTTAGCATGTCTGTTTACATTGGGCCGTCCCCTTATGTTTCTCTTTCTCAGCTTGTCTGAAGATTACATTTACATTTTAGTCATTTAGCAGACTCTCTTACCCAGAGCAACATACATGAGCAATCAGGGTTACGTTTCTTGCTCAAGTGCACATTGACAGATTATTCACCTAGTGGGCTCAGAGATTCAAACCAGTGACCTTTCGGTTACTTGCCCACCGCTCTAACCACTAGGCTACATGCTGCCCCAGCTCTTGTTATGATTAATTTCCCATTCCTGGTGCACAGTGAGGATGTCCCAATACAAGGCTGATGATTCCCTGCTGCTAACATTCCTGGTGCACAGTAAGGATGTCCCAATACAAGGCTGATGATTCCCTGCTGCTAACGTTCCTGGTGCACAGTGAGGATGTCCCAATACAAGGCTGATGATTCCCTGCTGCTAACGAAAAGAAAAGTTGCTGGAATGAAAACGAACCTGAAACTCAAATGATCTGAGCTGATAATGGACCGTTTGAGAGCTATACAACATGTCCTGTGTGTCCGTTTTTCAGTTGTATAACCCCCTTTCTCTTCTCTTTCTCTCCCTCTCTTTCCTCTCCCTCCCTCTCTCACTCCTACAGACAGTAACTTTGTCCTGGGTAATGCTCAGGTGCAGTCCCTCTACCCTATCGTCTACTGTTCTGATGGCTTCTGTGAGCTGACCGGCTACGCCCGCGCCGAGCTGATGCAGAAGAGCTGCGCGTGTCATTTCCTGTACGGGCCGGAGACCAGCGACCAGCTGACGGCGAAGATCCAAGGGGTGTTGGACGACAGGGGGGAGTTTAAGACAGAGCTGGTGTTCTACAAGAAGGGAGGTGAGAGACTACAGGGTGTATCCCAAATAACACCCTATTCTCTATATAGTGCACTACTTTTGACCAGAGGCCTCATAGGTAGGGAATAGGGTGGCATTTCAGATGAAACCAGGAAGGTGAGAAACAGAGAGACAGTTGGTCACACCCTAGTCACCAACATTGCCTTATAGGTTCCTGAGAATGAAGCAGCGAACGTTGTGTGTGTGTATTGGGAGGGGGGTAGGTGTGTATGTGTGTGTGTCTGTGCGTACGCGAGCGTGAGAGAGAGTTGTCACTGATGACTCAGGGAAAGAAGACAAATCAACAATTTATGTAGTGTATCAATAAATCTGTGCTTTTATTGATGAGAGCGAATAGGACAGAGATTGATGAGACGGACAGCGGCGACAGGGAACTGGGCCATAGGACACATCATATTTGAGGATAAGGAAAGAACTGACATTGAAGAGAAGACCGATTGGTTTTAGACAGGACAAAGTCGGAAAACTAGCTTGGCTGGGAACAGGGCTAGACAGCTGCTACTGGGAGAAATAAGCCTTAAACAAAGACAAGCACAGCCAAATGGAGGACAGTCTCAGTGAGACTTAAAAAGACAAATTAAAGGTTGTTTTGCGCTTTATTGGCACTGCATATGCATACATTAACATTTTACAGCCCTCTGGGGTAGGAGAAGAGAGAAGAAACAAATGTAGTAACGTTTTGTGAATTCCGTCGTCAAGGCGTGTGTGCGTGTGTGTGTGTGTTTGTGTGTGTGTGTGTGTGTGTGTGTGTGTGAGAGAGTGTACGTGTGTGTGTGTGTGTGTGTGTGTGTGTGTGTGTGTGTGTGTGTGTGTGTGTGTGTGTGTGTATACTTGCTTGTGTCCTCACGACACAACTTGAGCCTCCAGAATGATTCAAGGGTTATTAAGCCCTGTCCCTCATCCTCTGGTCCAGGTCCATATTCACACAGTGTGTTGAACACCATGTAATCCAGCTAATGTCATCCACCAATCCACCCACCTGAAACAGAGAGAACAGCATTAACCATAACAGCCGTGTAATAGGACTCTTTCTCTATGAATATGAGGCTGTTTTATCTTGATTATATCAATTTATGTACAACCACAACATGTCCTCCCGCATCAAACAGTGTTACGTGACTTTGTCAGGGTTGTTTTTAAAGTTCCAGTTGAATCACTGAAAGGCAGAGTGGCAATAAAAGCATGATAAAGAATCCTTGCATCCGCACCAGGGGCCTCGTTTATAACCGTTGAGTACATTTCACACTAAATTTATGCGTGCGGCATTTCTGAAAAGTCTGCAAACGCACACAAAATATTGAGATTTATCAAATTGCCGCATGTCATACATGCGCATGTTTCCCGTTATAAATCAGACCTGTCATAAAACTGTTCACCCATGAACGAGCATTAAAACTCTGCCTGGAAAGCGCCCTCCATTCACCTTTTATGGTGACAATAATACCCTTGATTTGCTGTATAGGCCTAATTTGGAACTATTGGCATTAGGCCACGGGTTTTGGAAGATTCAAAGACAACAGTTATTCGCTGTGGTGTAAGTCCCTAGAGGATGCAATCAGTGTATGGTCAGCTGTGTGCTTATGGAATCCCTACTTCGCTTCAATAGTGAATGCTATGGGGCTCAATATGGTCTCAGTGTTGTGCTTATCATAACAGGTTGAATATTGCCTGCCAGCACCTTCATGTAGTTGATGGTGATTGATTAGTCAAATTATGGAATAATTAATCACCTCACCTGAGCAAAGCCTTACCTCACCTGAGCAAAGCCTGGAGGAGGCTAATTTATGCCTGACACACACCATCATTATACATCATCTTTGTCATTGTCTTCATCACCACCACTGCCACCATCATCATCATCATCTGTTTTAACCATGAACACAGTATGACAGCGAGATAATAAAACCAAAAAACCAAGAAGAAGAACATCTGTCTCATCATTGCAGTTACATCATAGGGGTCATTCATACGGGCACAGAAGACATCAAACTGTTTTTTACCTTATTTTTAAAGCTGCCCAGAGAGGACGTTGTTTTTATGGGCAGAGGCAACTCATTCCACTCTGAGGCTCCAGTATACAAGAAAGTACCTTTCCCAGCATTACTCCTGAACCTGTATAAGCACACATTAGCAACACCTGATTTGGTGCTGTGATTGTGTGCATCCCTAACACAGGGAAAGTATTTAGTGTAAATAGTCACAGTGTGAGGAGAGAGACTCACAGACCTGTATGACCTGGGTCAGTCTCTTCTCTTCTGACTTCACACCTCTACACATGATCTCTTCTGTCACTCTCCTGCCTGCCTGCTAAACATCTGGGAGGATATAGCATGGCTCACCTCTCACTGCCAGTCACAACCAGGGGTGACAGTAGATTTGATTTCTTCCCGGTACGGGACCTCTTATGTGTGCACATACTTTAAAAATGTATTATCTTTTAATGTGGCATAAACACAACCAGCAGTGATGGTTTCCTCTGATTGTTAAACAAAAGGCTCCATTGAGTCTGGCTACCTGCGCACGTTCGTCCACTCTAGAAGAATTCCCACATCCATACAGTGCACTGTGCACCTGGAACCTGGAACAAGACATCTGTTACAAAACACCAAAAGGTTTAATGAATGACATTCGGCAATTGTCAAATAGGGCTACGCTTTTGAGCTGAATTGATGCGTCCACTGCTCTCCGCGCGCGTCTCGGCCACTCATTTCTGCCTTGGCAAAATGTCACCGTTGTTTTCTAACCTCACCGCATTTTGGATCGTACTTCCACGGGTTTTCAAGTCCATTCACTCTGACACTGACATGCGCTAATGATAAATAATAGTGTAGTCTTTTCATCCTTGTTTTAATTATTGTGATAGGCTCATTTTTTACTGGTACGGTGTACCCCCACTATTTATTTTGTTGGTACTCTGTACCGGACCGTTCCGACTTGCTTTCACCCCTGGTCACAACAACCAATACAGTATGGTAAAGAAAGGGGGATTCAAATAAAATAAAATCAAATTGTATGTGTCACATGCGCCGAATACAACAGGTATAGACCTTACCGTGAAATGCTTACTTACAAGCCCTTAAGTATTGTATGGATTGTTAGGTTCTAAACAAACAGAGTAAAAACTCAAACGGATGACTAGAAAACATTTATTCACACACTTGGTCAAACAGCTGCTAAGACAAAGACATGTTTACACAAGCACATACACTACCGTTCAAAAGTTTGGGGTCACTTAGAAATATCCTTGTTTTCGAAAGAAAAGCAATTTTGTTGTCCATCAAAATAACATCAAATTGATCAGAAATACAGTGTAGACATTGTTAATGTTGTAAATGGCTATTTTAGCTGGAAACTGCAGATTTTTAATGGAATATCTACATAGGCATACAGAGGCCCATTATCAGCAACCATCAGTCCTGTGTTCCAATGGCACGTTGTGCTTGCTAATCCAAGTTTATCATTTTAAAAGGCTAATTGATCATTAGAAAACCCTTTTGCAATTATGTTAGCACAGCTGAAAACTGTTGTGCTGATTAAAGAAGCAATAAAACTGGCCTTCTTGAGACTAGTTGAGTATCTGGAGCATCAGCAATTGTGGGTTCGATTACAGGCTCAAAATGGCCAGAAACAAGTAACTTTCTTCTGAAATTCGTCAGTCTATTCTTGTTCTGAGAAATGAAGGCTATTCCATGCGATAAATTGCCAAGAAACTGAAGATCTCATACAACGCTGTGTACTACTCCCTTCACAGAACAGCGCAACCAGAATAGAAAGAGGAGTGGGAGGCTCCAGTGCACAACTGAGCAAGAGGACAAATACATTAGGTGTCTAGTTTGAGAAACAGACGCCTCACAGGTCCTCAACTGGCAGCTTCATTAAATAATACCCGCAAAACACCAGTCTCAACGTCAACAGTGAAGAGGCGACTCCGGGATGCTGACCTTCTAGGCAGAGTTGCAAAGAAAAAGCCATATCTCAGACTGCCCATCTTAATCTTTTATTTTTATTGGCCAGTCTGAGATATGGCTTTTTCTTTGCAATTCGCCTCTTCACTGTTGACGTTGAGACTGCTGTTTTGCGGGTACTATTTAATGAAGCTGCCAGCTGTCAACTCCTTGCACATCTAGACATTCAATACATCTCTGTTGCTAGTCAGGAACTTAATTAGTTCCTCTTACTGGTATAGTCATGTCCCCACCTCCTGCTAGAACCTTTGTGTGCATGTAAGTATATGTGTGTAACAGGACTGTTCCTCCTAACTTCATCTGACCCATACACCTAGTTCTTATCCACCCTCCATTGACCCCAACATATTTATTCCGATACATGTAAAGTCATCAATAAGTTATAGTATGGTAACATGAATAAGGATATTTCAAGCTAGAATCCAACAGGATGTACATTCATAAAGTATGGATGACATCAGTTGAATAGAGACTAGCAAACTATTTCTCTGGTCTGGTTAGCTCATTTGTTTTCATGCAGCCAGCTAGGGCCAAACTCATTTCACTTTCTGAATGACCCTTTTGGAACTACGCTTCCTAAAATGAAAAAGCTTTTATTCACTAATAAAGACATCCTGCATTTGTCTCTCTCTCCATCAGTAATAACTGTGTCTAATAGAGAAGCTCTAGGCTTTGACAGGGTGCAGAATATGAAGCTAGACATGCACACAACCACACAGCATTTAAATGAGTTAGCAAAATAACAGACAAACGCATGCGTGATGCACACATGCTTGTTTTGAACTAAGACTTGGCAGACCACTTCCATACACAGAGTGCCCTTCCAGAGACACAAAACAAAATAAAGTGAGGTAGTGAGATGTTGTTTTCTGTGTTTTGCTGTTATTGTAACATACTGGGCTAGAGCAGTCAGTAGCTTTTCCAATCTCTACAGGAGATGGCAGGAGCTTTTCCAATCTCTACAGACAGCTGGAGATGATTTAGTTGTGGGAATGGACTTTGTAGTAGAATGACGTGTGCGTGTGTGCGTGAGTGTGTACTTTAAATAACATTCTTAGAATGTTCTCTACATGTTCTCTGAATGTTTGTCAAGTTTCTTAAAAGTGCTGAGAATGTTCCAAAGCCAAGCATCTATCCTGCACCATTCCCAGAAAGTTGTGGGAAGGTTATATGCAAAATAACCATAGGACAACCATGCTCTCACCAAGCTCTAAGAAACATGTGGTTCTCAGAACGTTATGTGCTAGCTGGGATGTATACATCTTTATCAGTATCATCTCCATCTCTTTTTGTACCAATCTGCCACAACAAATATTTACCTGATTCACTGTGTTTTTCTACCAGTATGTGAGCAGTAGTCTCCTTTCAGAGCCACTATGCCTCCAGTGAGTGATATGCACCTCTATCTGCGTTCCAGGTACCCAGTTCTGGTGTCTGCTGGACATCGTGCCCATTAAGAATGAGAAGGGAGAGGTGGTGCTGTTTCTGGTGTCCCACAAGGACATCACTGACAACAAGAAGGACCAGGACCCAGAGCAAGGCCCCGAGACTGGTGAGTTACCCTGGGTTAGACCAGGACCCAGAGCAAGGCACCGAGACTGGTGAGTTACCCTGAGTTAGAATCTGACTTAACTTGGCTTAGAGTCTGACTTAACATGGGTTAACCTGGGTTAGAGTAGGTCTTAACTTGGGTTAACTTGGGAGGGAGTAGAGAGAGACAAGATAGAGAGAGACAGAGACAGAAAGAGACAGAAACAGAAATGGAGAGCGAGACCGAGACAGGGAGAGAGGATAGAAAGATCTGAGTATTTGATTATTTTATACCGTCAAATTAGCTTTTACAGCTGTTCTCTATCAAATGTATACTTCAGAGAAAGGCTACCTTGATGATAGCTAAATACTATTTAAACGCTTGCCTTCCAATTCCCCCTTGCCTTCCTGTCTTATACTTATGCTAAAATGTTTATTCTATTCTACTGAGCCATTACTTTATGTTCGTATTTATATATTTTATTATTGTTTTTTGCATTGTCGAGAAGGAACCTGCAAATAAGCATTCGTTGGATGGTGTATACCATGTTTATCCCGTACATACGACTAATAAAAGTTGAAACCTGAAACTACCTGATCTGCTCCTAAACTCTGCCATTCTCCCTCTCTGCCACTCTCTGGGATTGTTCTAATGCATATCTCATTTGGCTACAGATGACTCAGCTTCATTCAGCTGTATTCAGCTTCACTGGAGGCTGATTCAGTTTTGTTCCAGACACTACACAGGGTTACTAAATTTTTTACTAAAGCCAGACAAATTACAGAGTGAAATGATGAGAGATAGATAGAGCTGACGAATAGGTAGAGAGAGAAGGATGGAGGGAGAGAGAGAGAGAGAGAGAGAGAGAGAGAGAGGGAGGGAGAGAGAGAGGTGTTAATGTTTTCTGTTCTGTGATTTATCACAAGGACGTAATGACTGTAACCTTTAACGAGCCTCATCAGCATACAGGTGTTACACTGTTATAGATTAGGGAGGGAGGAAGGGAGGGATGGATGGAGAGAGAAAAGTGGGAGAGAGAGACAGAGAAAGAGATTGAGAGAGAGGAGGGGGGCGGGTATTTGAGACAGTTGGTTGTTCTGTTTGGTAGGTTACACACTTTATTGTTGTCTGCTCTCTCTCTCTCTCTCTCTTATATGTTATCACAAGGGCAAAATTCTGGTGTAGATATTTGGAGGGGGCGAACAGTAGACGCGGGGTCCTCCCCCAGAATGTTTTGGGACTTTGTTAAATGCATTTCCTGCAATTCTACACAGTTTGACATTACTTACAGTGAGGGAAAAAAATATTTGATCCCCTGCTGATTTTGTACGTTTGCCCACTGACAAAGACATGATCAGTCTATAATTGTAATGGTAGGTTTATTTGAACAGTGAGAGACAGAATAACAACAAAAAAATCCAGAGAAACGCATCTCAAAAATATTATAAATTGATTTGCATTTTAATGAGGGAAATAAGTATATGTCATGAGGCTGAGAGAATATTTAGCCATTTTAGAGTTAATTTCCTGCAATTCTACAAATGTTGCAATGGGCCAGATAGAGAAATTTGCTTTTTTATAGCTCATCTCATGCTATTCTTCACATTTTCCCATGAGGATGAGATTTGTTTTTGCAGTTTTTAGAGCTAATATCCTGCTACTCTAAACATTTTGCCATGAGGCTGAAAGAAAATGTTGCGGTTTTAAAGTAACTGTCCAGTGAAAAACTCACTTTTCAAATAAAATCAAAAAAAAATTGTCACATACACCGAATACAACAGGTGTAGACAGACAAAATTAAACGGCCTATTTATATAATGAATATGAATTCGGAGACAGAAATTATTAAATATTAAAGCATTAGACCTATCACCAAAAGCTTCAGTCATACAAAAGTTATACTTAAATCCGAACTGGTTCTCTAGCAAATTAGTAAGATTGTCTCACCCAATGTTCAAGAATGGCCTTTTTCCCTTTATTCAGATTACAACCTCGCACTTTCAGTTATTTGAAAAGGAAATCATCTCCCAAATATCACTATTTCTAAAACAAGCCATAGAAAGTTGGTTGCAATTTCAATGTAATCCTCCAGAAACGACAGAACAAATAATGCAACAAATATACTAATTTGACAAAATGTTTAAAAAAGGTATAATCTTCGTAAATGATATCATTGGTAGGACTGGTGGAGTTATGTCGCACATGCAGCTAACAAAAACATGTCTGCTCTACCCAAAATTTCAACCAAATAATTGCAGCATTACCGCAAAAATGGAAGAGGAAAGTGGAAGGGGGAAAAAGTAAGGAACTTGTCTGTCGGCCTTGCATTAAAGAACATCATTGGTTAAAGAAAACTGTGATAAATAAAAAAGTATACTAGTTTCATTTAAGGACCAAAGGATTGACAGCCGTCCCATATAGATTGCAAAATAGTTGGGAAGAGATTTTTGACATACCGATCCCATGGCATAGTGTTTATGAATTTATACGCAAAACGACGCCGGATTCAAAACGTATTATTATTAGATCATTTGTTTTGGTACTGTCCATTTGTAGCTTGTTTTTGAACACAGATCCAGGAATGGCTAAAGGATTGTAATATTTACCTGGAGCTAACCTTGCAGATAGCATTACTGGGTGATCTGAAAAGTCATAGTCAATCGATCAATAATATAATAATACTTTTAGCAAAAATGTTTATTTTCAATTTACAATCTGTAGAAACAATGAGAATAGAAAGGTTCAGAACTTTAGTAAAACATCACAGTACAGTTGAAAAATATATGGCAAATAGAAATCCAATATGGATGGTGTTAAGAGATAGATGGGTGGTGTCGAAGGGAGTTGAAGGATGGGACTAATAACAACTAACAACAACTAATAACAACAATATATTTAATAATGTAAGCATACTGTGTCCATAATAAGTATATAGGTTATAGGTTGAGAGCTTTTGTGAAAGAGCACAGTTAGAAAGATATGGCATATAGAAGCAAACCGGATGGACATCATGGAAATTATCGGAGAAGTTGAGGGTAGAGGAAGTTCAGGAGTAAAAACAAACCAAATTGAATTATTGTAAAATTGACTGTGTCCATAAAATGTATATAGTATGTATAAGTTGGAAGTAGAGGCCTAAGCATTGTTGTACACTAGTTTACTCTAATTAGGGAAGGGGCTGTGGGGTTGGAAAGTAATAAAGGGAAATATATTTATAAAAAGGATATGTATATGTATGTGTATGGATGTACGTATGTGTATGTATGTATGTGTGTGTATATATATAAATGTAAATGGTACAGTGAAATGGTTACAAGCATAGTGGAGTCTTTTGGTTAGACATGTAGCTAGCTAGCGAGCTAAACAATGAAACATAATCCCAATTCATAACATTACTACCATGCATGAATCTGAAGGTAGCTAAAGCTAACCAACTAGGTTCAATGTTAGCTAGTTAGCTAACATTAGGCTATAACGAGTAATGCAAATGGTTTCTGAGATTTATTATTAAGGCACATGAAAGTTCACATGTTCCAGAAGGCATTTCTGCCCCCCAAAAAACATTTTGATAAAACATGTATGTTTACATTCAAATGGCTCTCCTGTGAAGTAGTGACATGCGACATACGCCTAGTTTTCTGAAACGAGTCACAATTGGTTAGGAGCCCGTAAAACGGCAGCCATCCCCTCCGGTGCCATTTAAATGTTCATATTCTGTTAACTCATACCCCCAAAAATTTGATGGCTCATCCTATACTCGTATTTGTGACCAAAGCATAAATTGGAGAAAAAACACTTCAAAAACACCACCTCAAACATGTATCTGAAACAGACATGTACATTTTTTTTGCTATTTCCTCATACAGGATGATGTCCAATCAGCGGGCTACTCGCATTAATAATCTCTCTCTCTATTCACCATCTCTCTCTCTCTCTATTCACCATCCCTCTCTCTCTATTCACCATCCTCTCTCTCTATTCACCATCTCTCTCTCTATTCACCATCTCTCTCTCTATTACCATCTCCCTCTCTCTATTACCATCTCCCTCTCTCTATTACCATCTCCCTCTCTCTATTACCATCTCCCTCTCTCTATTACCATCTCCCTCTCTCTATTACCATCTCCCTCTCTCTATTACCATCCTCTCTCTATCCTCTCATCTCTCTCCTTTAAACCCTCTCTCTTCTCTATTCACCTCTCTCTCTCTCTATTCCCATCTCTCTCCCCTATTCAAACCTCTCTCCCTTTTCACCATCCCCCTCTCTCCTCTTTTCCCTTCTCTCTCCTTTCCCCCTCTCTTTTCACCACTCTCTTCTCTCCCCTTTCCCATCCTCTCCCCTCTATTCACCCCTCTCTCTCTCTCATTCCCCCACTTCTCTCTCTTCCCATCCCTCTCTCTATTCACCATCTCTCCTCTTCTTTCACACCCTCTCTCTCTCTTATTCCCATCTCTTCTCTCTTTCCACCATCTCTCCTCTCTCTATTCACCATCTCTCCCCCTCTATTCACCATCTCTCTCTCTATTTCACCATCTTTTCTCTCTATTCACCATCTCTCTCTCTCTATTCACCATCTCTCTCTCTCTATTCACCATCTCTCTCTCTCTATTCACCATCTCTCTCTCTCTATTCACCATCTCTCTCTCTCTATTCACCATCTCTCTCTCTCTATTCACCATCTCTCTCTCTCTCTATTCACCATCTCTCTCTCCTCTCTATTCACCATCTCTCCTCTCATCACCATCTCTCTCTCTCATTCACCATCCTCTCTCTCTCTATTCACCATCTCTCTCTCTCTATTCACCATCTCTCTCTCTCTCTATTCACCATCTCTCCTCTCTCTATTCACCATCTCTCTCTCTCTATTCCCATCCCATCTCTCTCTCTCTATTCACCATCTCTCTCTCTCTCTATTCACCATCTCTTCTCTCTCTATTCACCATCTCTCTCTCTCTCTCTCTCCTATTCACCATCTCTCTCTCCTCTATTCACATCTCTCTCTCTCTATTCACCATCTCTCTCTCTCTATTCACCATCTCTCTCTCTCTATTCACCATCTCTCTCTCTATTCAC